TACATTATATTCGTGTATATATAAGCAACTCAAATAAGTTCATTATTCAAATGTGTATAACCCAGTTAATTATAAACTTAATAGATAACCGTCTTTTATTTTTAATAAATCTGCTTATCTCACATGAGCCCTGGGCTCCCGTCCAATAAAGTGGTGTGAATCGTATAGTCCCTGACTACCAAAAACACACGTGTGGCTGGATTGTACGTCTACTCCCTAGATGATCCCTGATCACGTCCACACAATAAGGGCTCATTAGACCCATGGCCATAACAAAAGGGTAGTGTACTCCCAAATAGGTAGGTCCCTTACCATACCCAAAAGTCATCATAGGGTTAGCCTCGGACTTCCCCTCGACTAATCCACTTATAATCATAAATTTAGATTAATTATGCTAAAAAATATTATGTTATCATTTAAATATCATGCCCCAACCATGACTTAGACTGACCTTTAATGATGTAGTTATTAAACTAATTATACCCCCTGCAATAATCAACTGATAAGGAAATCACAAATGAAAGTTCAAAGAAGAAAACTAGTACAGATCATCAAATCTGTCCAGTAGCCAAGTTCATCAAGTGTATTCTTTACAAAGTTCATGTAAGCTTAATGATACAGATTATATAATTACAATTAATAATAGGTAAATTTATATATATATCTCAATGTACATACAAGCATTAAGCTACCATGAGTTATGCTAGTACTACTCATATATTTATAGTTCTATTACTTCAACTGATCAGTTATTGAGATCCATACTGATAATTAAATAATAATTTTTTTATATATAAAACTAATAGCATTCATTTATATTTGAAGGTTTCCAGATAACTAAATACAAATTTAAATACTAAATTTAAGGTTATGTTCCATGTCTAATTCAATTTCATTAATTAAATGTAGCAACCGGCCAATTGATCAAGTCTTTAAATTTAGTTCTAATATTTACTCAAATCTCATAATAAATGTATAACCATAAATACAATAACCCAATCTATCCAAGGAAAATATGAATAAAACTTACCTATATATATACAGATTTGTATATAAATATAAGTGACCTTGAACTCATACAATAAGTCACCATTACTGATTCTCAATGATCATGATCCAATAAGTTCCCATTCCAGTTCCAATTCGACACATATATATACTTAATATCAACATTTAATTAATCTGAATAATCCATCATAGACAACTATTATCTCAAGTGCTCCAATACAGTGCAATGTTTACCTTTAGTATAACCTACATGAACGTATATATATAGACAACTATTATCTCAAGTGCTCCAATACAATGCAATGTTTACCTTTATTAGAACCTACATGAACGTGTATATATAGATACATCACAAATTCATCTATAATTACGTATTGCATTTTATTTATTTTTGTTTTTATTTTTTAAAATATCAAATAGTGAATTAACAATCACCTAATAATCCACTCATCGATTTCATACATCCATTGATCATAGATTTTAATTAAATAATTGGCTAAGATTTTCTAGAACATGCCAAATTAATTTTGGAAGAATCTTTTCTTTAAAAACAAGTTGTAAACATATATAAAAATATAAAGCAATATTAACTTGCCTGGAAATTACTAAACCTTCCTTTTATGCGATTGCCCGATTAACGTTCCTTCCCTCGGTTACTGCAGAAAGGCACAACGTCAGATCACTCTCTTTGGATCCCTTCCTCACCCGTTATCGGGCTAGTATATTTTTTTATGAAAATAACTTGGTGAAGAGTTATAGGGATATATGGAGTCTGGTGAGATAATTTAGCAATTTAAATTTTTTTAAAAATTTAAATTATTTAACGAACTTTATCACAATATCCCGTTTAATTTAAATTAGAGATAACAATTAAATTAATAAAATATATGTATAATATATATATATATATATATATATATATATATATATATATATATATATTTATTTATTTATTTATTCGGGGTCTTACATTCTACCCTCCTAGAAAGAAATTTTGTCCTCGAAATTTACGTACCTTATTCAAATAGATGTGGGTACTTTCCCTTCATTTCTGACTTTAGCTCCTAAGTAGCCTATCTCTTGTCCTGATGATTCCACTGCACCTTCACCAGAGGTATCTCTGTCCGCCTCAACTGTTTCACCATACTGTCAATAATGCGAACATGCGTCTCAACATAGGTTGCATTAGGACGCAACTGAACCTCTGTGTAGTCAACAACCTGAGTTTCATCCCTCAAGCACCTCCTCAACATGGAGACATGGAAAACATCATGAACAATTATAGTCTAGGTGGTAGAGCCAATCTATACGCCACCTTCCCAATCCTCTTTGTGATCTCAAAAGGTCCGATGAATCGAGGAGCTAATTTCCCTTTCTTTCTACCAAATCTCGTAACCCCCTTCATTGGTAATACTTTCAAGAACACCAAGTCACCCACACTAAACTTCAAAGCACGACGGCGTTGATCTGCATAACTTTTCTGTTGACTCTGAGCTATGCGAAGTCGATCTCGAATGATGGTAACCTTCTCCGTAGTCTCTTGTACCAATTCTGGCCCCAAAAAACTACCATCACCAACCTCAGCCTAGCATACAGGTGAACGATAAGGTCTACCATAAAGTGCCTCATACGGTGCCATGCTGATACTAGCCTGATAGCTGTTATTATAAGCGAATTCAACCAGTAGAATGTGATCCTCCCAACTGCCCCAAAATTCTAGCGCATAAGCATGAAGCATATCCTCCAATACCTGAATGACCCTTTCGGATTGGCCATCGGTCTGAGGATAAAAAGCAGTACTCAAACTCAAAGGAGTACCAAAAGCTGCATGGAAACTACTCTAAAATCGAGATGAAAATCGAGGATCACAATCTGAAACAATAGACACCGGCACTCCATGGAGCTTAACTATGTCGCTGATGTAAATCTTACACAATTCCTTTACAGTATCAGTAGCTCAGATGGGTAGAAAATGAGCTGATTTAGTCAATCGGTCCACTATCACCCACACTGTATCATGGTTATGTATCGACCTCGGTAACCCCACAACAAAATCTATCGTCACATGCTCCCATTTCCACTTAGGCACAGGCAAAGGCTGTAATAGTCCTGCTGATCTCTGGTGCTCAGCCTTCACTCGCTAACAAGTGAGACATTTAGATACAAATTCTGCCACATCAAGTTTCATGCCTTCCCACCAGAACTGCCTCTTAAGATCATGATACATCTTAGTGCCACCTGGGTGCACTGTGTACCTAGAGTGGTGTGCCTCATCTAAAATCTGTCTCTTGAGGTCTGTTAAATTCGGAACACATAGCCTGCCTCGAAATCTTATACCACCATTAGCTCCACATTTCCAGTCTACATCACCCTCATCATTGGCAACTTAACTACTTTAGCCTGTAACTTGTCATCTTGGTTCTGAGCATAAATGATCCGATTGATCAAAGTCGGTTGTACAGTCAAACTACAAAGAAGAGCCCATGTACTCTGAGAACTCGGCATGATAGAAAACTCTGCCAATGCCTCTAACATCATCCACTCCTGAATCATCATAAAGGCAACTAATCCCCTCGGTTTTTTACTCAAGGCATCCGCTACCACATTAGCCTTTCCAAGATGATACTGAAGGGTCATATCAAAATCCTTCATCTTCTCCATCCACCTCCGTTGCCTCATATTCAACTCCTTCTGAGTGTAGAGGCTCTTGTGATCAGAGAATAACTCAAATTCTTCACCATACAAGTAATGCCTCCACACCTTCAATGCGAGAACCACTGCTGCCAATTCCAGGTCATGTGTAGGGTAATTCTGTTCATGTGGCTTAAGCTGTCAAGAGGCATACGTTACCACCTTATCATCTTACATCAAAACACAGCCAAGACCCTGATATGATGCATTTGTGTAGATCACATATCTCTCACCACTAACAGGAATGGTAAGAACTGGTGTCGAAGTCAATCTCGTCTTCAGCTCCTCAAATGCCTGCTCACAGCGGTAGTCCCAAACAAATTTCACATCCTTCTGAGTTAAACGAGTCAAAGGTGTAGCAATCTTGGAGAAACCCTCAATGAAGCGCTTGTAGTATCCTGCCAGTCCCAAGAAGTTACGAATCTCAATAATAGTAGTAGGTCGTTTCCAATTCATTACAGCCTCCACCTTGGCAGAATCTACTGAAACTCTATCCTCAGAGATCACATGCCCCAAAAACTGAATCTGCTCCTGCTAAAAGTCACACTGTTCAAATTTAGCATAGAGCTGATGTTCACGCAAAGTCTAAAGTGTAATGCTCAAGTGTCTCTTATGCTCCTCCTTAGTCTTGGAATATATCAGAATGTCATCAACAAATACCACAACAAACTGATCCAAGTAAGGTCGAAACACTCGGTTCATCAAATCCATAAAAGCTGCCGGAGCGTTAGTCAACCCAAAAGGCATGACTAAAAACTCATAGAGGCCATAACGAGTCCTAAAGGCAGTCTTAGGAATATCCTCCTCCCTAATCTTAGCTAATAGTACCCAGTCCTCAATTCAATCTTAGAGAACAACTGCGCCCTTCTGAGTTGATCAAACAAATCATCGATGTGTGGCAATGGGTACTTGTTCTTAATAGTGACCTTATTCAGCGCACGGTAGTTAACACATAAGCGGAGTGACCCATCATTCTTCTTGACAAATAGAACAGGTACTCCCCAAGGTGATGTGCTAGGTCGAATAAACCCCCGATCTTGCAACTCTTGAGTCTGTTTCTTCAACTCACTCAATTCAACTGGCGCTAATCTGTAGGGTGCCCTAGAGATAGGTGAAATAGCAGGAGTGAGGTCGATGCAAAAATCCATTGCCCTCCTAGGAGGCAAACCCAGAATATCTTGAAACACATCTGCATACTCTGACATTGTAGACAATTGCTCTATAGTCACGCGTTGCTCAACCACCTCAATGTGTGCAAGAAATCCCATAGTCATGGTGCCCTCGAACTCCCCACACTTATATCAAGAAGGTAACTGTCCCGGAACTGAGAATACAATAATCCTCTCATGGCAGTCCAACTGAGCATGATATCTAGCCAACCAATCCATACCCAGTATAGCATCAAAGTCTTTCATATGTAATACTATCAAATCAATAGGATACTCCAACTCCCCAATTGTAATAGGACAAGCACGACATATTCCATCAAGTGTCGTCGCGCTCCCGAGTGGAGTTGTAATAGATAGGGCATTACTCATATGTTCAGGTTCTAATCCCAGTGTGTCCACAAATGATAGTTTAATAAAAGAATATGAAGAACTTGAATCAAATAGTACTCTATCTATATTGCCATAAATAGTAAGTGTACCTTCCACTGCTGGTGGTGCACGGTCCTGTCTCCCATCTGGAACAACTGCATAAACCCTTGCACCTCCTTGCTGCTGTGGTGCCTGACCTCTCTGCTGGTTATTCTTGTGAGGCTTGGGACAATTACGAGCCAAATGTCCTTGCTTATGACAATTGTAGCAATGCCCGCTGAACTGATATGGCTGTGCATCATTAGGTGTGGCTGGTACTAAAGCTGTAGATTGCTCACCTTCACCCACTCTCTGCCTTTTCCCTGCTCGCCAATCTTGTCTGCCTCTCTGCCAAGACTGACCTTGCCAGTTTATTTGAGTTTGTTGCTGCTGACCCCTCTGATTCTGTTTAGAGCTGCTCTGATTCTGTTGAGAGCTGCTAGCCCCCTTACTTTTCTGTTCTGCCCTATGCTCCTTCTGTTCTTGAAAGGCAATGTTATTATTCTCCTCTACTGCCACGACATATTCCACCACTTTGGCATAAGTGTTAAAACGATGACCTACCACAAACTTCTTCACATGAGAGATCAACCCCCGCTCAAACTTTCTGACTTTGTGTAACTCATTCGCAACAATGTGAGGAGCGAATCCGGATAGCTCTGTAAACTTCCTTTCGTACTCACTGACTGACATATCATTATTCTGTTCCAGCCGCATGAACTCAGTTGCCTTCTTCTTCTTCTTCACTGATTGTGGAAAGTATTTGTCGTTGAACCGAGTTTTAAAATCATCCCAGGTCATAGTTGCAATATCCACAACCATCCTGGTCTCTGACTGCCACCGCTGGCGCGCCTCCCCAGATAAAAGAAATGCACCAATCTTCCTTTTCTGCACCTCAGTGCAGTCCATCATCTCAAAATATCTTTCCAAATCTTCAATCGACTTCTCGGCATCAAGTGGATCGGTAGATCTGATGAAACTGCCTCCTCTGCCTCTTCCAGCTCCTGACATCCTGGAAATTACTAAACCTTCCTTTTATGCGATTGCCCGATTAACGTTCCTTCCCTCGGCTACTGCAGAAAGGCACAACATCAGATCACTCTCTCTTAGCCAGGTAATTCTTAACCTAGGCTCTGATACCATTTGTAACGACCTGCTCCACCACATGGTATGATATTGTCCGCTTTGGGCCTGAGGCTGCATTGTTTTGCTCTTGGGCTTCACCCCAAAATGCCTTATACCAATTGGAGGTGACACACTTACATATAAGCACTTCACCTTTCCTCTATCCAGGCGATGTGGGACTGTGCACTCATAACTCGCTAGTGTGGTAGCTTGACAGTGTCTTTCGCACCTACCCACGGCACACCCGCCCACAAGGTCATCACATAATACCTCCTTTAAACCTTAATAAAGCAAGACTATAAGATATTTATTTATTTAAAAATGTAAAATAAAAAAAATTACAAATGAACTGATGTATGTAATTAATATCCAGCTCATCTCTTACACGTCACTTCTATGGAAAAACAAGATAAAGAGCTCTATTCTAGTAAAGTTAAATTACATTATAAAAATCTATCACTCCCTGACATGGATAATACTCAGCCAATAGCTTGTCTCCACGTCACAAACTACTTGTGTTGCTTCTGAGTTTGCACCCACTTTATCACTACCACAGGTCCAAAATCTAAAAGACACGTTTTGGAACCTACACAGGTAACGTATCATGCATCGAACGCTATGCCTTACCGTGTATTAAACTCACAAATATGACATCATTTGAATGGTCATGATTGTCCCTTTAGTAGGGCCCTACCTCAAGATCTCTTATCAAATGTTATGTGTACGGTCCACATCATGTCTGTTCAAACTTAAAATCATGTGTGTACAGTGTACACAGCTTTGGATATATTTTCTTTAACGATTCCTTCATTCTTATGATTCATTTATTTTAAAAATTAAAATATTATTAGCAATATTCAATTTAATCTAAGTTTTTTTTTTTTTTTTTTACTATCGATGAAATAATCAAATTCCAATTTTAGATAAGGAAATCTAATATATAGTTTTGAGTCTTGATCCTTTACACTGTTGTATATATGAGTGCCCGTAACCCTCAAACATGTGACACGTTCACATGTGTGAGGTTTGTGAACTCCGTAATGCAATCATGATCATCCATTCATAACTCATTTTAAGGTCCATAGCATTCAACTTAAGCTCTTTAAACTTATACAGTCATACTCAATCACATTTAAATTTCCATTCAAAATATTATACAAGTCAATTTAGATTCAAGCCAAAGTCGTTCAAAATATACCTAAATAAAATTCAAATATTTTTTATTTAATTTTAATTATAATTGTAAAATATATGATTGTTATTATTTATTTAAATATACAAGTGAAGATAAGTTCCAATTGATCCATCTAAGTCCAAGTTTTATTAGAAAAATAAACATAATTAATTTATACAAATTTCACATGCACACAATTCATTCATTAATGAATATGATGGTCAAATTGTTCTCTTTTATACAACAAAAGTTGAGGGGTCTGCTAAAGTGTACTCGGGCTATTAATTGACAACAATTACTAGACTGTTGACAAATTGATATAAAATAATAACAAATAAGAAATTATACAAATTGTATAATCTAATTAAAGCTATACTTTAAATTAAATTATAAGGACAAAATGGTCATATTCAAAGTTTTGCTTGTTTGTGTGATTGTTATAATAAATTTTGTCAATTTAGTCAACTTCAATCAAGATGGATCATTCTTAATTTGAAGGCTTGAAGCACACTTATTAAGTGTGACATTTGATCTGTCAATTGGATTAAAGTTCATTCCTAAACTCTTCAAACTTTAGATTCATTTATATTTATATTCAAGCACAAGTTGTACCAAAATCAAATTTAAATATATATTTTTTTATTCAAAAATAAAATATGATCACTAGTATTTATTCAAATAATCGTGAGCTGTTTGATCAGTATAAAAGTAGTCCATAAGTTCACATGATCCGAAGGAAATCCAGTTGAAAAAGGTAAGGGTGTGTTTGTCTATTTGTTTGGTGTGGTGTATTTGTACTTTGAAGCAAGATGGCATGACATCACATCTGTGATGTTTGATGATGATGGGAGGTTAATAATGGATAGGAGATCTTTTGAACCAATCAAAAGTAATTTTCATTGACGGAGATAGAATGTGATTCGGATGCCCCACTCCGTCAGAGAAGAAATTTGAGATAAACTATATATATATATATATATAGGATGTAAGGGTGCGATTGGTTGTTTGTTTGGCATGGTGTGTTTGAATCATGACATCACTTGTGTGACCTTGCTCTGATGATGGGGAGCCAACAATGATTTGGATGTCCCACCACTATATATATATATATATATTAAAATGCGAGTGTTTTTAAAATAAAAAAAAAAATTAATTTGTATAAGCAATGTAAAAAATTAGTTTATCACATTTACACTAATATACATACATACATACATGTATGTATGTATATTAGTGTAAATGTGATAAACTAATTTTTTACATTGCTTATACAAATTAATTGTTTTTTTTATTTAAAAAACTCGCATTTTAATGTTTGTCAATTTTAATTTTTACCATTAATTATATAAAATCTTTAATTTCTTTTATTATTTCCTTTTCTAAGAAAAATAAATAAAAATAAAAATTTAATTACATAGAAAATAAAACAAATCTCTCTGAAGTTCATTGAACATCTTATATTAATATTCTCTCGAGGTTATATAGCTTCTATAATAATGATATTGTCTAATATTTTATCTATAATAAGATTGCCTTTTTATGTGGAAAAGACCTGCATTTGTTCATTCCAAACAAAATATTCGTTGTGCTTTGTAAAAAAACACATGCTTTTAGGGTGGAGGGGTGGAAGCTAGCTGGTGTTGGGTTGGTGTTGTAAATGAACCACACAGACGTTGTCTTCACTAGTACAGCGCGCTCGCGCGCGCTCTCTCTCTCTCTCTCTCTCTATACACGTGTGTGTGTGTGTGTGTGTGTATATATATGTAAAGTATATCTTTGATATAGTTGCTTCTCAATGCCAAACAAACGTCATCCGTTTCTTTCACAATCAATAGAGAGTAAATATTAATAAAAGTAATACAAAACATACACAAAATTTTTAAAATATTTTTCATTTAAAGAATAGAGGAAATTAAATGATATGACGGATCAACATAGAAGACCAATTTATGTGTGGAGTTTTTTTAATTTAATTTAATTTAATTTATTATTTTTAAATTCACACCTCAAGTCATAGTTTAAACACTAGAGGGTGGTCAAAATTATAAATCGGTTTTTAAATGTTAAATTTTAATTATTCAATTAGTATAATTTTTATTTTTTTTATTTTATTTTATTTTTTTTTTATTTTCAAAATGAACCATCAAAACCTAAATACCAGCTTAATTTTACTAGACCATATAATTTTAGACTACATCTACCATGACATGACTGGACTATAAAGCATTATTTTTAAGGACTAATCATGATAATGTCATTTACTTAAATATTTCACGGTGCAAAGAAAAATTAAATAGCCTTTTTGACAAAATTAAGATTTTTAGAATTCACTCTTGTGTGTATGTGTAATTTATGAGTAAAATTAATATGCAAATTAATTACTACCTCCGTCCCAAATTAGATGTCCTGTTTTGTGAGTCACGGTTCTCCAAACAGGACATCCTTTTTGAGAACAGAGGGAGTATATTTTAAACGAGGGGTTTAGGTAATCCAAGCACACCAACAAAGAATCTGTAGTATTTTAGAAACTTTTGCGGCAACTAACAAGTGCAATTATGTTCCCACCCATTGCCTAACCATGAATATGGGGTTTCTAATTGCTTGGAGACCCCAAACATTAAATTATAAAATGAATAGTCTGAGTCTTTTTGTATCCAATGCTACTACTATCAAACAATTTTAATAATTTCAACACCTAAAATTCAGGAAAAAAAAAAAAAAAAAAACACCTAAAGACATTTATGTTTGCAAATTGAATACTTACTCTAAAAATTCAAATTCATCCAATAACACCTAGAACTTATATGCAGAGTTCACTGTAGCCAAACTGATTCTAGTATTATAAATATTTGCAAATAAAAAAATATTTATATTTTAAAAGTACAATAATATCAGCCTTATTTGAAATAAACTAGTTGAAGGTGATATGTCGTTCATATACTCCAGTATAAAAATAAATAAATAAAATAAAGTTAATTTAACAATTAAGAAATCCAATTAATTATATTATTTATATATGTACCTTTGACTCGAGTCAAAACATTTATTAAGTTGGAGAGTACGTACCTTCTATTTGAATCAAAGTATTTATTAAAGTTAGAGAGTGTGTTGGTTAGTGTAAATCTAATAAGAGTTGGTTGGTGTAAATCTAAATGTCACACTTAATACTCACCAAACACACTTATTAAGTGTAACATTTAATCCGTCCACATTCCTAAGCTTTTCAAATTATAAATTTATTTATACTTAAATTCAAGCACAAGTTGTTTACAATGTATCAAAAATTAAATCTAAATATCTTTTTTTTTTTTAATTCAAAAATAAAATATGATTACTATTATTTATTCAAATAATCGTGGGCCGTTTGATGAGTGTAAAAGTAGTCCGTAGGGAAAAAGGTAAAGGTTGTGTTTGAACTTTGAAGCTGGATGGCATGACATCACATATGTGACCTCTTATGGATGATGGGTGAAGTTAATATTCTCTGTGGTTCCTAGTAAAAAGATTGGATTGGAGATCTTTTGAACCAATCAACAGTAATTTTTATTGATGGAGATAGGACTATTAGTAACTATTAGTAATAATCATTTGGATATCACACCAACCCCATCAGAGTAGAAGATTCCAGATTTACTATATATATATATATATATATATATATATATATATAAGTGTAAATGTGATAAACTAATTTCTTAAATTGCTTATACAA